TCGGTTTTGAGCTTCGCCGAAGTTTCAGATTACGGTATTTCAATCTGAAATTGGTTGGGCTAGACTCAGTTTTCGACGAGGAATCCAACAAAAACAAAGTTTGAGTCGATAGGAGCTTCCAAAAAAAAGTTATGAGGGGTTTTCGGAAGGTCAAAGATTTTGAAAGTTTTTGGTGGCTCACAGTATTTTGCAACTTTCTCCCCAAAGAAAAGGTTTTTTAACTTTTAAGGTCATATTCGTGATCAGCATCAAATTCTGCATCAGAACATGTACCTTCTGTTGAAAAACAAAACTGCTCAAATTTTGCATTGTGTGCACCTTAGTTATATCATCAAAATTCTTCAAGTTATACACAATTCTTAGATTGACTAAATCTGATTCTGAACAGAAAAAAAACGTTTCTGAACTCATAAATTTTATTTTAGCTTCATAGTGGCATTATCACGTATTATCCAAAATGGACAGACAGTTTTAACGTATTCTATGTATTTTCGTTTATACTCTGATTTAGGATACGATGGTGACACGACGTTATGTGCTAACCGAGCTTTTGTTTTAGGAACATTTATAGGAAGAACATTATCATCAGAATTTTTTTCAATGATTTTAGCACTATTTTAGCTCTCTTCTCTAATTCTATGACATTAAGTGAGAATTTCTTTCCTAAGGCGCTACCTATAACAATAGCTAAATCATCAGCGAATAAATGTGTTATCAATTGGAAAAGTATTGTAGAAAAAAGTGTACATGAAGTCGAAAGGAATCGCCGCAAGTATTGACCCTGAGGCGCTCCACCGAACATTTTAAATCGTCTTGTAATCACATTCCCATAGTGAATCGAAAATGATCTGTCTTGTAAGCTAGAATAGATCCAACGTAACAACTGAAGAGGAATATTTAATTCTTGCAGGTTAGCGATAAGCGCAGGAAATCACATTTTGTCGAAAGCAGATAAAAAGTCCACAAATATTACTAAAACAGGTGGATTCGATGCCGCTACGTGAAGTCTTAGTTCTTCACAAAGAGATATAATACGGGTTTGAAGACGTCTGCGTGGAGTAATACCCTATTGTTCATCGACACATATATTGTTTTCCGCGCACCACTTTAACATCCTTTGATGTAAAATCTTTCATACCATTATCTAAATTCGGTAACAAAGAAATCGGACGTAATCGATTTTTCTTTGGGTAAAGTTCGTCTTTGAACAAACATATGACATTTGCATGTTTACTTTTATCAAAAAATAAACCCTTCTCTACACATTTATTAAATAAAACTGTAATTATTTTAAAATATTCCTCTGGTAATTTTTTCAATAGAAATACTGAAGTATTAGAGTTATCAGTAGATTTCTTTGGTTTCAAACTTTTCTACATCTTTATTACTTCGTTAATTGTTATTTTTTCTAAAGGTAATTGCTGGTTGATAAGAGTACAATAAAGGTTTAGCATACGTTCATATATTATTATGTCTTCATCCACACCAACTGTTTTTCACTTCTGTTTTGCTCTTTCTTCAAAAATTTGCACTTTCCAAAACAGATATTCATTTAAATGTGTGATGAAACGTGTTTTACGATATCTTTTTTTGTATTTATTTACCGTTTTTGCCAAATACACTAACTCGGATGGCCATGGTGGTCTATACTCTTTTATTGATACATATTCACTACATCTCTCCCATAGAAAAGACAAAAATTCCGAAAACAGAGAAAACAATTCTTGTTCATCAGTGTTATATACTAGTGAATTAAAGTATTGATATACACACTTAAGGAAAAAAGTAAAAACATTCCAGTTCGGTTTACGAAAGGAAGCATTCTCTAACAATAATAAGGATGATTGAAAAAGAACAGGAAAATGGTCTGATGTACCTTCATCTAATACTTCCATATTCCAACCTATATCATCATTAGCTAGGCAAAAGTCTATTACCGCTTCAGATTTTCTTGATGTTGGTTTTCTTGGCACAATTGACAGACAACCTGCAATTACTTCCAACCATTTTAACACGTGATTTCCACTTATATTATTCACTTCACAATGCTATAGCGTATGTTTTGCATTAAAATCACCAAAAATATAAAATTTTTTGTTTATATTTTGCTGAAAAGAATTAAAAAGAGGTAATTTTCCTGGTGGTACATAGACTGCTCCTGTTAATATTGGTTGCAGACTTAGGGAGCATTTCAAAATTATTTATTGTCTTACTTCCTGCTTCACTTCTTTTCTACTTTATTTTTTCACTTTTTTCCTTCTTTACTCTTTTACTCCTTTCCTTTTTTACTGTTTTTTGAGCAGTCTTTTGTTCAGAAGCAAAACAGTAACGAAGGAAAGAAGGAAAAAAGTAAAGAAGTAGAATGGAAAAAGAGTAAGAGAGTAGATAATTTTGAAATGCTCCATTAATTCTAGTTCAGTTATTAAAAAGTCACTTTCATAGTTTATAACTTTACTTTTTAATAAATGATGGATCAACAAAGCAACTCCTCCATACTCATTTGTTCCTTCTTGTGAAACCCGGTAGTATCCCGCAAAAGACGGCAATTTTCAAGTCGCTGTCCCTACTCCCGTCAACACACCAGCTGAGGAACATGGCTAGACAGAAGAACAGCCAAATCAGTAACACGAGTATTTAAACCTTCAATAATATTATGCAGTAAAATTAGAAATTTTTCACAAACATTTACAGGTTTGTCTTTTATCCATGTGTCACATAGTTCAGACAAGCTTCCTCTAGCATTCCATTCACAAAAAATATCAAAAAGTAGGTTTCTATCATTGTTACTTCCTAAGTATGATTTGATAAGACTAGTATTCACTAATGGCGGTGAGAAACGGAACACACTACTATTCGTTAAGTGATGATATTGATCTTATACCTCATATACAATTTGTATGCAAAACACGCCACTAATCAAGCAGAATCATTGAAATCACTATCAAATGATCTATATACTGATTCATTTCGTTTTATATCTGAACTGTTACAAAATGCGGACGATGCATCACTACCCAATGTCTTAAATAATCGATCAAAAGTGACAATTGCTACAATCAATAATTATCTAATTATTGCTCTTAATGATATCCCGTTTAGAAATAAGGATTTAAGAACCGTATCGTCTATCAACAATGGAACAAAAATTAAAGATCAACTGAAGATAGACTATAAAGGACTCGATTTTAAAGCTGTATTTGGAAAATCCAGTTATGTATTGATTTATACAGCCGGTGAAAATTTTCGTTTTGATTCATCTTACTTTGATTCATCCAGTAATTTTCCTTGAAGATAGCAGGGAGGTCAAGACATATGGGAAGCAGAAAATGATCGGAAATTTATGTATTCTTGGCAAATTATTCCAATTTGGACAGAAACTAAAGATGTACCTAGTGATGTACACAGTTTTATTGCCAAAAATTCGTGTTCAGTTTCAACTATAATGCTCCTTCATAACAAGTTAGAGACAAAACAAGGAATACAGCAGCTAAAAGATCAACCACACACGCTGTTATTCTTGAGAAATATAGTTGAAATACACTTTAATTTAGATGGTTTAATTGACACTTTTACAATGGAAAACAATGTAATTGATGGAACAAAAACACTAGTTTTAAATAATCATATTTTATCAAGATGGAGAGTGAAAAAAACTATTTTAGATATTCCAGCTTCTACTTGTGAAAATTTGAAGAAGGACTTAAATATACCAGAAAAATTAAAATGAGCCCAATAAATCAAATTATTTTTTACTCCCAAATATAACAGTAATACTGCTATCCAAAAATTAGAAAGCGTCCTATTTGCCTATATACCAACAAAGATTTTACAATATAAATTTTCTGTTCTTGTTAATGCCAGCTTTTTGACAAATGTTAACCGACAACAACTTCATACAGATTCAATTTGGAATCAATGGTTATTTTCACAAATACCAATTGAAATATATAGATGGATTAGAGAAATGGCAAAATAAGAAAAATGGCATGCACATGTATATGAGAATATGTCTGTTAAAGTCAAAAAAAAAAATAGTGCTTAAACCTTGACTTTGGAGCGTCTTATCTCGTATGAGGTAAAAGGACAATCTTTATCTGTCGCTTTTAAAAGCATTCACGTTTTCAAAAGTTTACAGAGAACTTCGAATTTATGACTGCACCTATTTATATCTTGAGTGAGAGTAGGGAATACTATTGTATTGGAGTGTTGATCACAGTCTGTGACATGGCCCAAGACTAGCGTTTCGAAAGTTGTGTCTCGGTTTGTGGACAAGAGCAAGAGTGGCTTCACTTGTCTCTCTTGATACTTCAGTGTCTATTCACAATCCTGTTTCATAGTACGACGCTTAATCTTTCTCTGGCAATTCTGATCGGATGAAAAGAATATTATTGACGACGTATACACATGTTCCTGAAGGCTGTTCTCTAATCTTGCTGGGAAAAGACTAACATGTCGATACTTTTTTCACGTTTTATCAGTCTTTATTTCCCTTAGTTGTTCCAGAAAATAGATTTCAGATACCATCATCAGTCAATGTCGGCATTGGACAATAACCACATGTTCAAATTTTGATGCGAGAATCTGCAACAAGTCGCATCACTTGAATTCTGGTTATATTACTGTTAGACTGAAAATGTTAGCTTACTGAATTAACTGGAATTTAATCTCAAAATAAAAGTGAGAGCGGTTGTTGTTTTATGGTTCGCGTGTGAATATTACCGATTAGGTAACGCTTGCCGTATGTGAAGAAAACATTCACGCTTGAACATTCAGACAATGTACATCCGTAGATATTATCGCTAAGATCAGTTCGTTATTAGAGCCAATCTAATATTCTGTGAATGAGGCGGAATGGCTGAGCCCCAATCCTCTGTGCGTCAAACAGAACCGAACCGATCGTCACTACATCCTGAGAGTCACTAACAGCAAAGCGATCTTACGCCAAGAATACTCACAACTGTTATAAAACCATCAACCTTTTATGCATTTCTCACTTCTGTGCATTTTTATTTCGAGATCTTTGCGCAGTAAACGTCGATTGAAAGAAAAAACATCGAAAAGTCATTTTTTGAGAAAGAAGACATTTTTGATCTACATAAAATGCATGAAGGAACTGTACGATGGTAAAATTTATATTTAGGAATTTATATTCTCTCACTCACTGGCACTGCTGTGTACTTACTTTGCAAATTAGTTCCTTTTTTTCTTTGATTTAACTCCGCTTTGAAACACTTAAAGAAGCAGATATGAACTACAGTAAGTAGAAGCATAAAGTAAATGCCTGATATAAAAGACTGCTTTTTCGTCTCGTTTAAAATGAGAAGAAAAAGCTTTGAATCATTATCAAACACGTGGCTGTCATATAAGTCTATATGTTCTACAAACGAAGTATATATTTATCGTTCGATGTTTTTCATTTCGTTTATAGTGAGTGATCGATTTATCGGACGTTTCTTTTGTCCTATACAAATTTCTAACGAAGAAAAACATCCTTCATAGAAATGCACGTCTATACTTGTCTAATATTTTTGAAAGTGAAAGAGTTTATATAGTACACATAGACTTATATGACAGCCACGTTTTTTGCGTACGAGACTCTCGTGGGACTTTTTGTGAAGACCCGTAGGACTTCCTATGGATTTTTTGAGGAGGAAAACTTCCGAGGAAGTCCCGCAGGATTCCAGCGGGACTACTGCCGGGACTCTCGACTAGGGCATACCTTTGCTCATAGTTTCGAGCCAAACAAACCGTCTTTATCATACAACCTTTGTCATTTCTACTGGCATACACACTCTATTTATATACTCCAATGAGTAAATCTATTTTCATTTTCTTCCTTGAACAAATGTTTTTTTGCAACTTCCAGAAATGTTTACTGTAAAAAAGATGAGTCATTTTTCACCTCTCAGCTACTGCCAACGAACATCCATCTGCCTTCGTCTTTTGAATTATTCACATATTCTTTTTCTTATATATTACAGAGAACTTATTGTCGACTATACCAACGGCGACGGCATATATACCTTATGTGTTGCAAAGAACAGATTGTTCTGTCATGGTGACTATTCAAGTTTTACTGTGACTGAGCAAAATCATAAGAGACAAATAATATTTTATGTTATACAGGACTCGTGTACGTCCTCAGCTACCAAGCAAAATGGGCTGCAATATGGGAGATAAAATCGTGACTTTATCGAAATTGCTGGAGATTAAAAAAATTGAATGGATTAAAGCTTAGCAGTTGTTACAAGTCTTGAAAAATGTAGTAAATGTTTACAACATTCACTTTTCACAATTGAAAGACCGTATACGGCCACGTACGGCGATATACATCAGCCGTATACGGCGGTCGTATTACGACGAAATACGGCGGTTTACGACTGCCGTATACAGTGAATTTCCTGTGACCTGTGTTCCTTGGAATTCCATCGCAAAATGTATTTCTTATAAGTTTTCCGATATGAACTAGTGTTCGTTATGTGATCAAAATGGCATCAAATAGTTCTTTTAATCAGCTACCCAGGTCCAAAAAAACGGCACGTTAACGTCCAGTTAACGGTCACACACAAAACGGTGCGTTAACGTTCTCAAAACGGCAAAAAATAGATGCTAGAATAATTCTAGGTACGTATGTTCGAATCTCAATCAGCTCAAAACCGCAGTTACGACAGGCGTATTTACGGTGTAGTTACAGCCGTTTACTGTATACGGTCTCTACTGTATAAGGACTGTATACGGTCGTTTACGGCAGTCGTAAAATTGGACCTGGGTAATTGTAAAAGCAAGATATTTTGAGTGCAGATGACAAATAAGTAAGTTGCAAAACAAGAGAAAAGTTATGTCTCTCAATTGTGAAAAGTGAATGTTGTAAACATTTACTACATTTTTCAAGACTTGTAACAACTGCTAAGCTTTAATCCATTCAATTTTTTTAATCTCCAGCAATTTCGATAAAGTCATTTTCTAAACGTATTTCTCATGGTTGGCGACCTGATGATCTTCTTTTTCTCAAAAATAATGCGAAAAAGTGGAATTTCGTGTATAATTATTGAAAAGAAGTCGTAATAACAATATGCCGGCCAAATGCGACAGAAATAGACTTGAGCACAAACGACAAATGAGAATTTGACGCCAAATCGTTGTAATGAACTCTCATTCAGTTGTGCTGATGCATTGTTTTATTCCTGCTCGCGCATACGCATTATGAGTTAAACAAAACGCTTTTTTTTGCATGGTGTTCACGAAGAAAAAATCGGATAAAACATTGTACAGTAACTAACAAAGGCCTTAACTTTCTCATGAGAACGTCGTATGAAAGATGGTTTCTCGTAATTTTTTTATCGTCCGATTTTATCTCCCATATTGCAGCCCATTTTGCTTGGTAGCTGAGGACGTACACGAGTTCTGTATAACATAAAATATTATTTGTCTCCTTTATGATTTTGCTCAGCCACAGTTGAGTATGAGTTATTAAGCTGCAATAATCCCTAGCCAAAGAGAACAATATTAACGTAGACTGTTAACTAATGTTACACAGACTCATTTATTCTAATGAATGGATTTTTCGTA